TACAGTGGACGCAGAAATGCTGCTGGCCGGGCCCAGGCTGGCTCCATGGCCACCTGCGCTGGGGAGGGGTACCGCCTCGGCTGTGAGGAGGGACTCAGGCACTGGCTTGGGAATGTGACTTATGTTCAAGTCTTGAGCATCTACTTAGTGTCATTGGGGAGAGTCTCAACAGCTTTCTTTTTTCTTTTTTTAAAATATATTTTATTGATTTTTTCCTGCGAGGAAGGGAGAGGGATAGAGAGTTAGAAACATGGATGAGAGAGGAACATCGATCAGCTGCCTCCTGCACTCCCCCCACTGGGGATGTGCCCACAACCAAGGTACATGCCCTTGACCGGAATCGAACCCGGGACCCTTTGGTCCGCAGGCCGATGCTCTATCCACTGAGCCAAACCAGTCAGGGCTCATCAGCTTTCTGCGTCTCAGTTTCCCCATCTGTGGAAACAAAGCCCTTACAATGACCTTCCAGCGTGGTTGAGACTTGGTGAGACCCTAGTTCCCAATGCTTATTTGTTTATTCCATTTCCTACTTATCTGCCTGTCAGTCAAGAAATGTATCGAAGCCGTGGCCAGTGTTGGTAAGTGGTTAGAGCATCAGCCTGCACACCAGAGGGTCTTGAGTTCAACTCCTGGTCAAGGGCACATACCTGGGTTTCGGGTTTGTTCCCCGCCCCCAGTAGGGTGCATGCGGAAGGCAACCAATCATTGTGTCTCTCTCACATCAATGTTTCTCTCTCTCTCTTCCCTTCTCCCCCCTCCCTTCCATTCTCTCTAAAAATCAATGGAAAAAATATCCTCGGGTGAGAATTTTAAAAAACTTATTTGAAACACTTATCAAAACACATGAAGATAAGATAAAAAGGAATCAGGCCAGGAAGAATAAGAGTTTAAAAAATACGGCCCTGACCGGTGTGGCTCAGTTGGTTGAGCATCGTCCTGTGCACCACAAGGTCTCTGGTTCGATTCCTGGTCAGGGCACATGCCCAGGCTGCGGGGTCAGTCCCTGGTTGGGGCATGTACAGGAGGCAACCAACAGAGGTTTCTCTCTCACATCGATGCTTCTCTCTCTCTCTCACTCCCTCTCCCTTCCTCTCTCAAATCAATAAAAACATTTTTAAAAAGTACAGGCAGCTGTGAGTGAAGGTGTCCCAGAAAATGCAGTTTATGAGGCACTGACTTCCTCTGAGCCGACCACTGTGCACGTTTGAGCTTCCTGGCAGCCCAAGTGGCCTCCCTCCGAAGGCCCCAGGCATTGGCGTCTGTCCTCGAAGGCACCGCTGGCCAGGGGTCACCAGGTCCTAAAGGCCAGCCTGGCCAGGGGAGTCCGGTCACTGTGACCTCGGTGGGGTCCAAGCGCCCCCTTTGGGAAAAGCAGGGTGGTCACTTGCCTCCCTGAGTGTCTTCCCTGCCAAGGCCTTTGTTCGCTGTTGCCAGGGGATTTAGTCCTGGCCCCGCCCTGCCCTGCCCTCCACAGCTCCAGCCCAGTTCACTCCAGCCAGGGCAGGGATTGGGGTGTGCCCTACAGAGGCAGGTCCCACGTAGGGGGCCAGTCTGCCCGAGCCATCGGGGCTCCCTTGCCAGGTCCTGAGCCCCTCAGGTGGGCCACTCTGGAGGCTTCTGCTGTGCTGACCTCAGTTTGCAGTTGCCTTTGACCCGGGCCCTGCCATGGCAACAGCTCCCCGCCTGCCTTTATTGGGCCTCACCCCAGTGCCCCTGCGCTCATTCTGCTGGCTGGTCTGCCTGCTCGCACTCCCCCAGAGCAGGGCTGGAATCCACTGTGGAGCCCGGAGACCCACTTCAAAATGCTGCCAAGGAGCGGCCCCTCCTCCCGCCTTCCCGAAGGCCAGAGGCCACCAGCCCTGCCTCTGCCCTGGGACAGCTGACACTCAGCAGAGGTGAGGCCCCCGCCCCCCGTGGTCCTGCTGCCTGCAGTCCGCTGTGCTGGCCGCTGTGGACAGGCTCCGGGAAGGGCGGTGTTTAAACGGAACACGATGGGACCTCTGGGACCTGACAGCACAGGTACTGCTCGGCCCGGGGTTGGCGACGCGACTGTTCCTGACGGCGGCTAGGAGCCGCCCAGGCTCACGCCCAGCTTTGTAACTTTGAGCAGATCCCCGAAGCCCCTCGCTTCCCTCCTTTATAAAATGAAAGGATTGGGGGAGATGGTCCTTAAAATCTGTTCGAGATCAAACATTCATGATTCTGTGCCTTGTGACCATGTAGCTCAGTGTTGGAGCCTTCTAGCCTTGAGCACTGAAAGGACGAACGTTTGCCCTGGCTGGTGTGGCTCAGTGGGTTGAGCGTTGCCCGTGCGTGGAAAGGTCACCAGTCCCATTCCCGGTCGGGACACATGCCCGGGTTTCGGGTTCGATCCCCAGTCGTGATGCGTACAGAAGGCAACTGATGTTTCTCTCTCACATCACTGTTTCTCTTTCCCTCTCCCTTCCTCTCTCTCTAAAATCAATAAAAACATTTTGAAAACGGAAGGAACGGAAGTTTGGTGCACTCTTCCTCTCGGGGGCACCTGTGCCCTTTCCGTCCCCCACTCCTTCCCCCGAGTTACCTCTGCCTTTCCCTCTCCCAGGCTCCCAGGGCCCGTCCTTTGCTTCTGTCACTTGTTTCCTGAGCCCACACAGCCCAGCTGGCTCCCTTCTATTACCTCTTGAACTTGCTAAATAAACTTGCTCTTATCATTTTTTGGGGGGGGGGGAACAAACGTTTCCTGAGCACCCAAGCATACCCAGAACTCTGTCCATTTCACAGATGTAGAAACTGAGGCTCAGAATGGTAAGAGCCTTGCATAAGATCACAGTAGTCTAAAGCCAAGTGCATATTTTTCCACTGTTCCCTGCTGTCCTCCGAGTTAGGAAGTGAAAGGGAGGGTATGACAGGAGGACACTGAAATGACTCAGAAAGAACCAGAGAAGAAGCCACAGGAAGGAACTTTTTAAAAAAATGTTTATCCTCACGCAAGGACATGTCCATTGATGAGAGAGAGAGAGAGAGAGAGAGAGAGAGAGAGAGAGAGGAACATCTGTGTGAGATAGAAACATGGATTGGTTGCCTCCTGCATGTACCCCTACCTGGGATCAAACCGACAACCTAGACATGTGCCCTGACTGAGAACTGAACCTGCAACCTTCCAGTGTATGAGGCGACATGCCAACCAACCGCGTCACAGCAGAAAGAACGTTCTAGGTGTAAGGACTGTGCCCTATCACTGGGATCTATGGAAGGAGAAACGAAGACACCAGCTGCCAAAGGCCAGGTTTCTTTCCCAGCCCCTCCTGTGACTTGGTGGCTCACCCCAAGCAGGTCGCTGGTCCCACTCCGTGAAATGGGTATAACCGCCCTGGGCTCCAGGACAGATGAGCCAGATGGGCCCAGCCGGTGTGCAGGAGGCAGCCAATCACCGAGGTTTCTCTCACCGAGGTTTCTCTCTATCCCTCTCCCTTCCTCTTTCTCTAAAAATCAAATGTTTTCTTTAAAAACATTTTAAAAAGAAATGAGCCTGCCGAAACCAGTTTGGCTCAGTGGATAGAGCGTCGGCCTGCGGACTGAAGGGTCCCGGGTTTGATTCCGGTCAAGGGCATGTACCAGGGTTGCGGGCACATCCCCAGTGGGAGATGTGCAGGAGGCAGCTGATCGATGTTTCTCTCTCATCGATGTTTCTAACTCTCTATCTCTCTCCCTTCCTCTCTGTAAAAAATCAATAAAATATATTTAAAAAAAAGAAATGAGCCGGATTGTTATAGTTAGTGCTCGCTTGCTGCACAGGCTCATTCAGGAGATGTACAGCAAATCGAGCGTGGAGTTTAGTTCATAGTAACGTGCCTTTTCCGTCTCCTCATTGTGACAAGTGTGTGTGGTGATGTAAGATGCCAGCCCTGGGGAGAATGGTGAGGAGTGTAAGGGGACTCTCTGTACTATCTTCGCAACTTTTCTGATAAACTACAAATAATCTAAAATAGAAAGGCTACTTACATTGTAAAAAATATTTTTCTGAGGCCCTTCACAGCCATAACGAATTGATAAATTAGCCTGTGTGAATAGAGAATGGTTATATTCATGAATCACTCATGAATAGAGTGATTCATTCAAAAGAACCATGGAATATTATGTAGGATTTAAAAGGAAATGGTCACTTTATTTCTACTGATCTGAAAATCTCTTTAATTATTGATTGAGAAAAAATTTGATTAGACGTAGTGTCCAATATTTAAGAAAACTATTAAACCAAGAACAGAAAAATTGCATCTTAAAGCCAGCGATACACCTCTAATAGCTGAGATTATTTATGCCTGGAGATCAGTCTAGTGGGAGGCACGGGGTAATGAGGGGAACTTTTACTTGATTTTATTCTTTAAATATGTTAGAACTAAATGTCATCCCTTGAGACCTGTGAATTTTTTCAGTGAAAAGGCATTCAAAAGACTTGTCACTATTCCACAAGAAAAGGTAGAATAGGTAGAAAGAAAAAACGAACGAACGAACAAGAACATTGCCCTGGGCAGCGCAAAGCAGGGCCCCCAAGTCTGCAGCCTGCTCCCCTCTCCTTTGGGGCTCGTAAGCCCCCTGGGTAGACTGCACTGCAGGGTTGGGCTTTTCCCAGGATGCATTTTGTTCCTGGAGCAATGCAGCTGGTGCAGTTGGGGTGGGGGGGGGGGCCGGGTGGCAGGTACGGCTGCAGAGGCAGGATGTGGGTGACCTGGTGGTCTCCGGGGGAAGCGCTGTGGGAGCAGAGGGAGGTCCTGAACCAGGAGGGGAGTTTGTGTGATACTGTGGATGCCAGGGGTACTGGGTACAGCAAGGTGGACCAGCAGGCTTGATGCCTGGGGGGGCAGGAGGTGATTGCATGTAGGGTCCCCAGCAACTGGCCAGGACATTCACAAACACGGTGGCAGCAAAGGCCTGGTCATGTCCGGCTCCTAGAAGGGCCGCAGGTTCCCCTGCCCCAGGAATGCAGACCTCTGACCTGTCTGCTCTCCCCTTCCCCGCAGGATGAAGATGAGACGCTACAAGCTCTTTCTCATGTTCTGTATGGCCGGCCTGTGCCTCATCTCCTTCCTGCACTTCTTTAAGACCCTGTCCTACGTCACCTTCCCCAGAGAACTGGCCTCCCTCAGCCCGAACCTCCTGTCCAGCTTCTTCTGGAACAATGCCCCCGTCACGCCCCAGGCCAGCCCAGAACCGGGGAGCCCCGACCTGCTGCGTACCCCACTCTATTCCCACTCGCCCCTGCTCCAGCCGCTGTCCCCCAGCAAGGCCGCCGAGGAACTCCACCGCATGGACTTCGTGCTCCCCGAGGACACCACCGAGTATTTCGTCCGCACCAAAGCCGGGGGTGTCTGCTTCAAGCCGGGTACCAAGGTGCTGGAGAAGCCCCCGTCGGGGCGGCCAGAGGAGAAGACGGAGGGGGGCGATGGCTCATCTGCCCGGGGCCCAGCCCGGCACCTGCTGAGCGCCAGGGAGCGCA